ATATCTGTTTTACACCGTTATAGTAGACTTGACCATTATGTTACTAAATAATTATAATTAAAAAATGTTGTTTGAAAATTTTCGTAATATTTGCTGGAAATCACTGACCAGCGAATTGCTTAGCTCATCTACACAAACGTTATCACAGATAGATATCTGACTTTTATTAAATTTGCCATATTTTCAGACTATTTGTTGCCATAGCAACCAGAATTTTCAACATAGGAAGAAAAGAAAAAGACGTGCATAATCTCCATACTGCCATCTATCCATATATCAAGTTTTATAAAAATATTTTCAGTACTTTTTGCGTTATCGCGGGATCCAGTTTTGTGGACGGTACAACCGGTTTCAAACATATTAGAACAGAAAAGGCCCTATATCGGAAATGATAAATGGGGTTTATTTAAGAAATAAAAAATGGCCTTTCGGGGAAAATGCAAGCTTACGGACTGGTTGGTCTGGTCCGAAGCGCAGCTGAGGTCCATATACCTTCCGAAGTCTGACCAACTAGTCCCTAAACTTGCATTTTCCACGAAAGGCCATGTTTTATTTGTTCTATTATACCGAATCTAAATCCTTTCATCCCTTTGTTTTGTGCTGTCATTTTTACTATTATTTGCTTTCAAACAATAATTTTACTTGTTCAGTGTGTGAAATATCTCAAACCCTAAACGGATTTTGTGTATGCTCTTCTTTTAATATTCCGATTACCGATGATTTAAGAGTTGTGATTCCATTTTTGTTAATGAAATTCAATATTAATTTAATGTTACTAGGCAAAATAACCCGGACTTTAAGAATTTCAGAAACAGTATAAATAAAATTTATAACTAAATTAAAGAAAAATCATGACTTTTGATCAACATGTAGTCTGATAAGGAGACAAATCGCCTATCCATTTTGACAGTTATCGTCTGTTTGTGTCGTCGTAAAATTCGCACGTCGTGAAAGCTACGTTTAACCTGAGGTCTGGAGACCGCAGGGTATTGGTACGCGTTTAACTTTTGAGGCATGGAGGAGCACGTGACCTGTTTTCGGTACATGGAGGAGCACGGGATATGTAAACCTTACATGATTGGTTAATTGAACTTTCGAAAACCTGGCTGAATACCGTTTGCCGGTTCGTGACGGATTTACCTCTGGGGAATTAGGCAGAATTACATCTAATTAGAACAAAATAACTGTTACGTGATATTTGTAATTTTTGTTTAAATATTTTACCGTTTAAGGTTGAAAAACTTGAATGATGTGTTTGAAAATTATCAATGTTTCTTTAATATAAACAATTTATTGTCTGTAAAATTTGAGATACATACTAATTGAAATATTCGATCGTAGTGGCATATGCCATAATAAATAGAGATATTTTCTGCATAAACTTGTGTGTTTACTTATTTTTTTGTTCGGAATTATTCATAAAATGGTAGGCCTATTGAATCATTTTCTTAAAAAGAAATAATTGTTTTATGTTCGACCTTCTCCGGTCATCAACGGTCACCAGTTTCCAATGACCTTCTTCTATATTGATCGACTATATGTTGTCCCCCAAACAATGTTGAAAATAGTTAAATGAAATATCTTATATCATTTAAAATGTTCCCCGCAGGAAACCATTTTACTTGTAAGAATTATGGACCGCCCCCGGTCTGTATGCGGTTTTTGGACCGGATGACGTCATATTGAATATAGAAAACCGTATGCAAATGAGGTTTAATATAATTTATTATCTCTCAATAATAGACTCCAAAGAAAATAGAGACTGCAAGTGTCAACTATATATATTTGCTTTGGAATATTGCTCTTGAGGGATCTCCACGATGTCCCATTACAGCCATCACGACACACATATAACGCGAAACAGCGTTAAAACGAATTTATGATGGTTAAAAGTCGAAAAAATAAAGAAGAAAAAAAGAGAAAAAAAAAACAACAACAAAAACAAATGAAACCACGATGTTGAAAACTCGGCATAATATCGTATCATCGTCATCGTACTTTCGACCTCTCGCCATAGTAGTTCCGTTGTTTCGTGACCTGGTAGCCTTTGTTCATTAAGTGTTTAGTTTCTTGCTCAAGAAATAACGGCTTGCCCCTGTCTTGGTTTGTGCCCACACGGTGATCGATACATAGTTGACTATTTCGACGCGCTAACCACTCGCCATAACAATACTTTATTTATTATATACATGCATAATTTAGTATTATAACATAATGATATGGTTATAAAGATATTTATTTCGTGTACAAGTTATGTTTTTATTTTTATTTTCAAAAGATTTTAAAGAATAATATGACCGTTATAAAATAAGATTCTATTCCAAATATTGGCACCATTGTAACAAAATGTATTTTTTTACCATAATTTATGCGGTGTTGAGGTATAACAATTATGCGATGCAGATGGAAAATGGGAGCAAAACCTTACAAAGCAAAGGTACTGTACATTTATTCTGGGAATATCCATATATACAACACCATAAGAATGAAGTGTTAAAGTACAGCAATAGCAAAACGATATATTGACAAACATGTGATTCATGATAATAATGTAAACAACTACATACTTTTACAAGCAACATACAACATATACAAATGTTAAAACAAATCAATGTTTAAAAATTACAAGTTAACGTTTTGAACTTAAACAAAAAATAGCGTTAAAATGACAACATGGAAACATTCAATACATTTTTCACCCGAATAACTTGTGCTAGCAATCAGAATCCCAACCGTTCAACTTTTCAGTTTCATCCAATAACAAGGAGGTAATCATTTAGGGTATGACCATAGCCCTATCTGTAATCATGAGTTATTGTTAATAAATGTGTAAGCAAAAGTCATTTTGTAAAGTCAGTAAAGGATGACTTATACTCATGGATTGAACGGGGATAATAAATTGGATGGGACCAGAAAAAATGTTTTAAAACTTCATAAAGGACAATTCATATTTGTTACAGAAATTGTACACCATATATTAGCCTGCGATCCAGTCTGTCACTCTTATGTCCTGTTCGGCTGATCGATATTATCAAAAACACGAACAAGTATGAAATAAAGCGTATGTGTTTTATTGTTAAAAAATCATTTCTACAACATTAAAATTTTTGGCCGCCAGGCCGCTGGGCCGCTGGGCCGCCAACTTTACAAAAATGACAAAATTAAAAAAATCTCTGCAAGTGATTTTTCTTTAGATATATCATTTAAATAACAATAATTATCTTTAAAACTTCATTAAATGCCGTTTTATTGTTAAAAAAACATTTTTAAAACATCAAAATTTTTGGCCGCTAGGCCGCCAGGCCGCTGGGCCGCCAACTTCACAAAAATGACAAAATTAAAAAAAATCTCTGAAAGTGATTTTTTCTTTAGATATATCGTTTAAATAACAATAATTATCTTTAAAACTTCATTAAATGCCGTTTTATTGTTAAAAAAAAACATTTTTACAACATTAAAATTTTTGGCCGCTAGGCCGCCAGGCCGCTGGGCCGCCAACTTCACAAAAATGACAAAATTAAAATAATCTCTGAAAGTGATTTTTTCTTAAGATATATCGTTTAAATAACAATAATTATCTTTAAAACTTCATTAAATGCCGTTTTATTGTTAAAAAAACATTTTTACAACATTAAAATTTTTGGCCGCTGGGCCGCCAACTTCACAAAAATAACAAAATTAAAAAAAATCTCTTAAAGTGATTTTTTCTTTAGATATATCGTTTAAATAACAATAATTATCTTTAAAACTTCATTAAATGCCGTTTTATTGTTAAAAAAACATTTTTACAACATTAAAATTTTTGGCCGCTAGGCCGCCAGGCCGCTGGGCCGCCAACTTCACGCTGCTAGGCCGCCAGGCCGCTGGGCCGCCCAACTTCACGCCGCCAGGCCGCTAGGCCGCCAGGCCGCCAACTTCACACATCTTTTGCCACTATAAAGCTAAAAGTTTACTGAAATCAAAAAGTCCTTCTAAATATTTTAATTCCTTCAGAACTATTGCATAAAAACGTCTCACTATAATTGTGCCACACAACTTTTTGTTCAATTATCTACATCTTGATTGCCCAAGACTGAAAGATCAATTTTTTGTAAATGAATAGGTGAAAATAGCATACTCAGTGATCTTCAAATGTTTTTTTTTTGGATGAAAAGAGACATGGTACCTATGCCTTCCATAGTAAACTTTATAGTGGCAAATTTATATATTTGATATGATAAACGGAGGTTAGCAAGTCTTCATTTAGGCTTACAATTACAGTTTTAAGAAGAAAGGGAACTATTATACTTGTAATTTTTATTATAATTATTATTACTCGTAACTTTTTAACTCACTCACTTACTTACTCTCTCACATATCTTGTTTTCCCTGGCTTTAGCCATTCTTTTTTCTTTGGCACAAAAATGTACAAATTTATTGGAATCACGATTCCACAGGACGAGAAAGATATAAACACAATCATATGTGGAACACGGTCACTTTTTCAGCTGCCACAAAGCACTTAACACTTGTTAGTGAGAGTATAAAAATTCCGAAAAAAAGGAAGCTCCTTCGAGTAAACATGTCGGACACTCAACTAATACGCTGCTCTGGAGTTAACCTATCACAAGTGTAACAATAAGTTAAAACAATGCTTGAACAAAGCTTTTAACTTTATAACTGGAATTGTTTCCCATAATTTGACATTTTTACCGTTGGTCAAATAGGGTTTCAATGATTATATAGCCTACAAAATCGTCGCACATTGGCGAAAAAACAACTGTTTACTTCTTGGATTAGTCAGTTTGGTGGTTACTGTATTTATCTTATAAGCAAAAGTACCATTGATACCCGGACTAATTACATGATTAAACTTATCTCAGTGAGATAACTGATATCAATTTATTGGTTGTGTCAAATTAAAAATCAATGCTTTCTTTATTAACATAAAACATTTATAGCAATGGGTATAAATCTGCGTATTTGATAAATATTGGAAACTTTCCTATTGTCAGGCGAGCTGGATTATTTCTTCACAGATAGCAAGATTTTCCGAGGAAGACATTCATACATAACGTATCGGACGCAGTGAAAGTCATTTGGATAGCAGCATTATATCTTTATGGTGAATTTAATAATGGACTCTCAGATATGTTTGGAGTATATATGACAGGTGAGTTTATATATTTATTTCACGAGTCAGTGTAACTTTATCACGGACGCACATAGATTTTATATGTTTTTCAGATACAGTCGATACGATAAGCGAAAGCTTTCAAGTTGTAATTTAGGCTTACAATTATAAAGATATGATGAATAACAATAAAAAAGTTGGAAGAAAAAAAGGAAAAATATAACTTTCATTATTATTATCATTATTTTTATGATTGTCACCTACCCAACCCAACCCAAACCACCCATCCACCCAGCCACTCACTCACTCATTTTTTAAATTTTATTTATTCAAATTATTGTGAACATCAATCACTTCAGCGGCAAATATCGTTTTCAAATTAAAGTTCCGTAAAATATGTTGATGAATTCCCGATGCTCGACTGTAAGTCATTCGTATATACATGCGTTTTACTTTTTTTTTTAAAGCTTCTTATTCTTTAAAATTTTCTTTTATTTATCTGTATCGAAAATTTGAATTTTATTACACATGGACTATCAAATTATGATGCGTTGCCCTAGAATTGTATAAACTTTCTAATTACACAATACGGGGTCATTCAATTGATTGAAGACTGATCTTTCTCTAAAATAATTATTTCCTTGTTGTGTTATGGCAAGAAAACATATTTGACCACATATTTGTGTCATTTATCTGTTCGCTACTTCCGATCTTTGTTGTACAGAAACACATGTTTTTATTTGTGTTTTCTAATCAATTCTAAACTATAATCAGTTTAATGAGATAACCACCGGGCAGACGACTACTAGATACTTTGATCATGTTTTTACCCCAAATATTTGGTATGTGAGAAGTTAGCAGTGAACAGTGAGCTAGGCAAAAAGGCATTTCAATTTATATAGGGAAGGTAATGATCTGCTGTAATGCTCAGCTGTTTTTGGCATCTAGCAGGGCATTCCTAAATATAGTGTAAAAATGCTCTGCTGCAATACTCAGCTGTCTTGGCAATCTAGCAGAGCATTCCTAGCTTTAGTGAAAAATGCTCTGCTGGAACGCTCAGCTGGCTAGGCAATCTAGCAGGGCATTACTAAATATAGTGTTAAAATGCTCTGCTGGAATGCTCAGCTGGCTAGCTAAGATAGTAGGCAATCTAGCAGGGCATTCCTAAATATGGTGAGAAAATGTTCTGCTGGAATGCTCAGCTGGCTAGGCAATCTAGCAGGGCATTACTAAATATAGTGTAAAATGCTCTGCTGGAATGCTAAGCTGTCTAGGCAATCTAGCAGGACATTACTAAATATAGTGAGAAAATGCTCTGCTGGAATGCTAAGCTGGCTAAGCAATCAAGCAGGGCATTACTAAATATAGTGTAAAATGCTCTGCTGGAATGCTAAGCTGGTTAGGCAATCTAGCAGGACATTACTAAATATAGTGTACAAATGCTATTCTGGAATGCTAAGCTGGCTAGGCAACCCAGCAGGGCATTACTAAATAAAGCGTAAAAATGCTCTGCTGGAATGCTAAGCTGGCTAGGCAATCTAGCAGGGCATTCCTGAATATAGTGAAAAAATGCTCTGCTGGAATGCTAAGCTGGCTAGGCAATCTAGCAGAGCATTACTAAATATAGTGTAAAAATGCTCTGCTGGAATGCTAAGCTGGCTAGGCAATCTAGCAGGGCATTCCTAAATATAGTGTAAAAATGCTCTGGTGGAATGCTAAGCTGCTAGGCAATCTAGCAGAGCATTACGAAATATAGTGTAAAAATGCTCTGCTGGAATGCTAAGCTGGCTAGGCAATCTAGCAGGGCATTACTAAATATAGTGTAAAATGCTCTGCTGGAATGCTAAGCTGGTTAGGCAATCTAGCAGGACATTACTAAATATAGTGTACAAATGCTATTCTGGAATGCTAAGCTGGCTAGGCAATCTAGCAGGGCATTACTAAATAAAGCGTAAAAATGCTCTGCTGGAATGCTAAGCTGGCTAGCCAATCTAGCAGGGCATTCCTAAATATAGTGAAAAAATGCTCTGCTGGAATGCTAAGCTGGCTAGGCAATCTAGCAGAGCATTACTAAATATAGTGTAAAAATGCTCTGCTGGAATGCTAAGCTGGCTAGGCAATCTAGCAGGGCATTCCTAAATATAGTGTAAAAATGCTCTGGTGGAATGCTAAGCTGCTAGGCAATCTAGCAGAGCATTACGAAATATAGTGTAAAAATGCTCTGCTGGAATGCTAAGCTGGCTAGGCAATCTAGCAGGGCATTACTAAATAAAGTGTTAAAATGCTCTGCAGAAATGCTCAGCTGGCTAGGCACTATAGCAGAGCATTCCTTAATATAGTGAAAAAATGCTCTGGTGGAATGCTCAGCTCGCTAGGCAATCTAGCAGAGCATTACTAGATATAGTGTAAAAAATGCTCTGCTGGAATGCTCAGCTGGCTAGGCACTATAGCAGAGCATTCCGTAATATAGTGAAAAAATGCTCTGGTGGAATGCTCAGCTGGCTAGGCAATCTAGCAGGGCATTACTAAATATGGTGTAGAAATGCTCTGGTGGAATGCTAAGCTGGCTAGGCAATCTAGCAGGGCATTCCGAAATATAGTTAAAAAATGCTCTGGTGGAATGCTCAGTTGGCAGACTGATTCTGAGTTCTAGGATTTATTGTTGCCAATGTTTTATTGACATTTTCGACTTCTAGGCAATTCTGAGGCACTCGCAGACTTTCAGGAATTTTCGGTGCCAATAGCAATAATGATATTTTTTACTTCAAAGGACCTTTGAGAGACTATTTCATTGTCCTGCGACTTTTTAAAGGACACTCGCAACTTTCAGGAATTTTGGTGCCAATGCTGATATTGACAATTAAGACTTCTAGGGACCCACAAGAGTCCATTTTGGTCATCTGCGACTGATTCTTGGACACTCGCAGACTTTCAGGAATGTTTGGTGCCAATGGAAATAATCACATTTTTGACTTCTAGGGACCTTTAAGAGTCCATTTCATTGGCCTGCAGCGTATTGTTGGATACTCGCAGACTTTCAGGACAGTTTTGATGCCAATAGAGATGATGGCAATTTTTACTTCTAGGGACCCGCCAGAGTCCATTTTTATGGTCTGCGACTGATTCTGGGACATTCGCAGACTTTCAGGAATCTCTGGTGCCAATGGAGATAATGACATTTTTGACTTCTAGCGACCCACCAGAGTTCATTTCGCTGGTCTGCGACTGATTTTGAGACACTTGCAGACTTTCAGGAATATTGATGCCAATGGAGATAATAACATTTCTGACTTTAAGGGAACCGCCAGAGTATATTTCTTGGGTCTGCGACTGATTCCTTGATACTCGCAGACTTTCAGGATGTTTAGTGCCATTGCAGATCATGACTTTTTTACTTTTAAGGACCCCTTAGTCATAAGCAGAGCATTTTTACCCTAAAATGTCATTATCTGGCTTAGCACCAAACATTCCTGAAAGTCTGCAAGTGCCCAATAATCAGTCGCAGACCAACGAAATAGACTCTGGATGGTCAAAAATGTCATAAATTGTAATTATCTCTATTGGCACCAACAATTCCTGAAAGTCCGTGACTGTCCAAGATTAAGTCGCAGGCCAAAAAAATGGACAGTGAATGGTCCCTAGAAGTAAAAAATGTCATTATCTGCCTTGACATCAAAAATTCCTGAAAGTCTGTGAGTGCCTCAGAATCAGTCGCAGACCAAAAAAATGGATTCAGAAAGGTCCCAATAAGTCAGAAATATCATTTTCTGCATTGACACCAAAATTCCTGAAAGTCTGCGAGTGACTCAGAATCAGTCGCAGACCAATGAAATAGACTCAAGAGGGTCCTTTTGAAGTAAAATTGTAATTATCTCTATTGGCACCAACAATTCCTGAAAGTCTGTGACTGTCCAAGATTAAGTCGCAGACCAAAAAAATGGACCCTGGATGGTCCCTAGAGTAAAAAATGTCATTATCTGCCTTGACATAAAAAATTCCTGAAAGTCTGTGAGTGCCTCAGAATCAGTCGCAGACCAAAAAAATGGATTCAGAAAGGTCCCAATAAGTCAGAAATATCATTTTCTGCATTGACACCAAAATTCCTGAAAGTGTGCGAGTGACTCAGAATCAGTCGCAGACCAACGAAATAGACTCAGGAGGGTCCTTTTGAAGTAAAAATGTCACTATCTCCATTGGAACCGAAAATTTCTGAAAGTCTGCAAGTGTTCCAGAAACATTCGCAGACCAACGAAATGGACTCTGGATGGTCCTAAAATTTCACAAATGTCATTAACACCAAAAATTCCTGAAAGTCTGCGATCGTCCCAGAATCAGTCGGAGACCAAAGAAATAGACACTTGAGGGTCCTGTAGAAGTCAAAAATGTCATTATCTGCATTGGCACTAAATATTTCAGAAAGTCTACGAGTGCCAAATAATCAGTTGCAGACCAACGAAATTTATACTTTATTTAAGAATGCCCTGCTAGTTTGTCTAGACAGCTCAGCATTCCGGCAGAACATTTTTACACTAATTTTTAGAATGCTTTGCTAGATTGCCTAGCCAGCTGAGCATTTTTAATACTATATTTAGGAATGCCCTGCTAGATTGCTTAGCTAGCTGAGCATACCAGCAGAGCATTTTTCGCACTATATTTTGGAACGCTCTGCTAGATTGCTTACCCAGCTGAGCTTGCCAACAGAGCATTTTTACACTATATTTAGGAATGCTCTGCTGGATTGCCTAGACAGCTGAGCATTTTTAACACTATATTTAGGAATGCCCTTCTAGATTGCCTAGCCAGCTGAGCAATTCAGCAGAGCATTTTTACACACTATTCTGGAATGCCCCGCTAGATTGCTTAGCCAGCTGAGCATAACAGCTAAGCATTTTTACACTATATTTAGGAATGCCCTGCTAGATTGCCTAGCCAGCTGAGCATACCAGCAGATCATGATTACACTATATTTTGGAATGCCCCGCTAGATTGCTTAGCCAGCTGAGAATACCAGTAGAGTATTTTTACACTATATTTGGAGT